ACAGAGAGTAGCTAAGTACTTTTTCTCTCTATATTTTCTTTGAAATAGGTGTAGATTTATACACAGTCTGCACCCCCCCCCCCCACAACAACAACAACCATGAGTTTGATATGTGATTACTGCAGAGAGACGTCGGATATGGAGGATACAGGCCTAACTAATGCAACGTTTAGGAAGTTACTAACTGCCGTAAAGCTTGATGGCTGTTGCTGGTATTGCTCTGGCTGCATAGTCAAGGTGAATGAAGCGATTGCAATCCATAAGGGAACGAGTTCTCTAGAGACGAAAATAGATGAAGCAGGAGCCCTGCTGGTTGACAAACTGGAGGAAGTTGGGAAAGAGATCCTTGCTAAGACTGAGGAAGTAGCTAATAGAATGGAGGTGGTTGCTAAGAGGAGTTATGCTGACGTATTAGGAGGGCCACGGGGGGGGCGGAGAGTAATGCAGAATCAGTACAGGTTCTACAGCAGATTGGGACTCTGAAAAAGTGTGTCGAAGAAATGAAAATTAACGCACCTACTGTTAGGGGAGAGGAGGAACACCAGGAACGGCTCCAGCGCAGGAACAATGTAATAGTTTTTGGAGTCCCAGAGAGCCAGGCAGAGGGAACTGTGAGTAAGGAAACACACGACAAGGTGCTGTTTCAAAATATTTGCACAGAGGTTCTGAAGATTCCAGCAACCCCTCAGGATGTGAGGAGACTGGGACAAAAGCAGGGGGCTAAGCCTCGCCCCCTCAGGATCACACTAGGGAGTGAGGAGGAAAAATGGCAAGTTATTCGGCAGGCAAAAAACTTAGCAAGGAGCGAGGAATTTCGGGATGTATTTATTCACCCAGACCGCACGGTAATGCAGAGGGAACAGCACAAGAAGCTCCTGCAGGACTTGAAGCAGAAGAGGGAGGAGTCGAGGAGGAACGGGGACAGGTGCACATGGGTTATACTCAGGGGGAGGGTAGTGGAAACAAGTGTGCCGACACAGGGCCAGGGGGCAGCAGTGCACCCTCCACCCACTCAACCCCCCACCCGGGAGGCGGCACCAGCTCAGCCTACCGGACAGGAGGGAACGAGCGCCGTGTAAACAATGACATTTTTAACCACACCCTGCAAAATACAGTGTACTTAGCAAATGCTGCAGCTTCTGAGAATGTGGGTGGAGCGGGTTTATTACTAAGAGCAGAGACGTTACCGAGAACAAATTCTGGCTTGAATGTCATGTACACTAATACTGACACGTTCCTTGATAAGAGAGAGGAGTTTGAAACACTACTAAGAGTACACCAACCAGATATTGTAGGAGTTGTAGAACTGTTGTACAAGAACAGGAGAATCGACCCAGAGGAATGTGAGTTCAGTATTGCTGGATATGACTCATTTACGAACCTAACTCAAGAATCCTGCAGGAGGGGTGTGGTTATCTACGCTAGGCAAGACCTTAGAGCCAGCCAGGCGAGGGTACAGGGAGAGGATGTTTTTGAAGAGTCCAAGTGGTGTAAAATTAAATTAAAGGGAGGGGACTTACTTATCGTCGGGTGTATCTACAGATCCCCGAACTGTGGCCCACTAAATCAAAGGAACTTAAGAACCTTAATAAACAATGCGGCGATGCTCAACCCCAGCCACCTCCTTATCATGGGGGACTTTAACTATGGCGACATCGACTGGAGAAACGAGTCCACCCCGAATGACTTGAATAATCCTGCTACTCTTTTTGTAGAAACTCTGAGAGATAATTTTCTGTTCCAACATGTGAGAGACCCGACACATTACAGAGGGGAGCAAACACCCAAGCCACTTGACCTCATCATAACAAACGAGGAGGGTATGGTGGCCAAACTGGAACACCTTGCCCCAGTTGGCACCAGTCACCATACAGTGTTGTCATTCAGATTTAACTGTTACCTAGTTCAAGATAAGGCCAGGCCAAGGTGCAAATATTACAAGGGAAATTACAATGGGATGAGGGAAGAGATGAGGGGTATCAACTGGCCTGACTTATTAAGGTACAAGAACGCAGACACTACGCTGAATATCATAACTAGTAAAATGACCCATTTGATCGATAAATATATACCCAAGACCAAACCCAGTGCTTCTAGGAATACGAGGGGATCCCTACACATGAACCATGCGGCGGTCGACAAAATTAAGAAGAAAACCCAGAAATTCAAGACGTGGGTTGGGTCAAACGATGAGCAAGACAGGAGGATGTATGCAAGAGCCAGAAACCAAGCAAAGATAGAGTGTAGGAGGGCTGAAAAGGAGTTCCAAAGGCTGGTTGCACGCGAGGTCAAGTCAAACCCAAAGGCGTTTTACCGCTATGCAAAGTCGAAATTGAAAACGCGAGTAGGAGTATCAGACCTGAGGCTTGAAGATGGTAGTTACGCAGATTCTGACCAGGATAAAGCTGAGGCATTGAACAGCTTCTTTTCCTCAGTGTTCACAAGAGAGGATGCAACTAACCTTCCTGCGTTTGAGGACAGACGGTTCGACACAGCACTGACCCACATTGTGTTCACAGAAGAGGGTATTAGAAATAAACTGTCCAGGCTAAAGGTCCATAAGAGTCCTGGACCTGACATGGTGCATCCTAGAGTGCTAAGGGAGCTGTGCAACGAGCTTGCAGAGCCCCTGAAGATTCTGTTTTGTAAATGCCTGGATGAACAAATGGTCCCCAGTGAATGGAAAGTGGCTTATGTGAGTCCTATCTTCAAGAAGGGCGATAGTCACTCCACGAACAACTATAGACCGGTGAGCCTGACCAGCATAATATGTAAAGTACTTGAGAGTATTATCAGAGATGCAGCGATGGAACAACCTTGTAAAAGATTGCCAACACGGTTTTATGCCGGGGCGCTCTTGCTTGACACAATTGCTCAAGGTATTGGATATTTGGACCCATATTCTAGAACGGGGTGGTAATATCGACAATATTTACCTAGATTTTGCCAAGGCTTTCGACAGTGTACCCCACGAAAGGCTGAAAATCAAACTGGAAGGGTACGGAATTCGGGGAAATGTCCTAGCGTGGATAGAAGACTTTCTAAATGACCGCAAGCAATGTGTGGTGATTAATGGCACGAAATCGTCATCTGTACCTGTAACAAGTGGGGTACCGCAGGGTAGTGTATTGGGCCCGCTGTTGTTTGTTTGTTTCATAAATGATATGCCTGACGTTGTACACTCCTCCATACAAATGTTTGCCGATGACGCCAAGTTATTTCGGGAAATTAAGAACCAAGCGGACTGTGAAGAGCTGCAGAAGGACCTCTGTGGGCTCCAGGAATGGTCGAAGGAATGGCTGCTGAGATTCAATGTCACGAAGTGTAAGAGGATGCACCTGGGGCGTACCAACGGTAAGGAGGCGTACCATATGTCCCAACGGGATGAAGAAAATGTACTAGTTGAGACTGTGTGTGAGAAGGACCTAGGTGTGTATGTTGACAATGAGCTGAAGTTCTCGGGCCATTGTGAGAAGAAGGTAAATCAGGCAAATAAATTATTGGGTCTTATAAGAAGGTCGTTCAGATATCTAGACGGTCCGTCCCTCGTGACGATCTTCAGGAGTGAAGTGCTTCCCCATCTGGAGTACTGTCACCCCATCTGGTCCCCGAGATATGCTAGGGACTGTCAGTTGGTTGAAAATGTTCAAAGGAGGGCCACCAAACTGGTGCCTGCACTTCGGCACCTCAGCTACCCTGAGAGATTGGAGCGCCTGAACTTGCCTAGCTTATACTACAGACGGGCAAGGGGGGACCTAGTTGAGGTTTATAAGCATCTCAGGGGGCACTACTCAGTTGAGTGTCCTTACTTGGAGCTGGCGGACGCTCGCCCCACAAGGGGTCACAGCTCAAGATTGAAGAAGCCGCAAGTCCAGAAAACCGTGAGGGCAAACTTTTTCGGAGTGAGGGTTGTAAACTCTTGGAACAATCTACCAGAGAGTGTTGTGACGGCACCGAGTGTGAGCTCTTTCAAGAGAAGACTTGACCAACACTGGAGCGGGTTCAGGTACATTCAGGAGCCGGTGCATGCCCAGTATTTGCCAACAGTGCGTGACAGAGACGTGACCGATCGCCCGGGCGGCTAGCGAGCCGACCTTTTGGTGAAGAATATAAAGGAAAAGAGACGTGACCGATCGCCCAAGCGGCTAACAAGCCGATCAGTGGCGAAGAGGATAAAAGTAAAAAATCACAAAAAATCGCTCAGCCGGCCGGGCTGCATGAACACCAATGCGGCCATATCAATTCATGTTCAGAAAATGCCTACAATTTCACCATATCATAGCAAGTTCTTTCTGTTTAATATACCGGAAGGGGGAAGATTCCCAGTAAGAATAGGTAGGTTTGTTTCGTTAGGTTGGTTAGGTCTGTTTTTCATACCAACAAATGTTAAGATACGTTTATTTTAGAAACATCCATTTTGTAACACATTTCCACAAACTACAACAATGCTCACTATAAAAGAAGTGAAAATCTGGCATTTATATGTTTGTTTTCATCAATTTCGGCTGCGGGTTAATCTTGAATAACTACCAGTTAGGTAAAGATTAGGTTAAGTAAAGTTAGGTTAGGTAGGGATTAGGTTAAGTAATGTTTGGCTAGGTTACGTTAGGGTAAGGTACAGTTCACTAATATAGCGGCAAAAAAGAGCATGACTGTTAAGCATACAGGTAATTCCATCTTCACTAATGACCTTTAACCATGTGATTAATTGATGATTTTCTTAACCGAGTGACGATTGGCCAACAAGCACTTGCAACGCCATCTACCTTGACAAGAGAACTGAATTTACAGGGTAAACACCAAAGTTACGGACTGCTTACGAACCCCACAAGTCAATTTTGAGTATGGGAAATTTACAGGACTGTATTTATGCTACTGTGCGTAACTGATGAGGTGTTTTGAGTATGCGGCCCCTGTATTTCAAACCCTCTTTAGTTAAAAATAATAAGGTTCTACTGTATTCACCTAAGTTTTGAATGTTACTACAAATATAAACTTACCAAGAAAATGAAGCGACGACAAAACAGTTTCTGGTAACTTTGCAAGAGGGAACTTCAGATCAGAGAGGACTCCTCTGACACAGCTTGACACGTGTGACAATGCGTTTAGTGAATCATCTGTTAAAATTTCCTTTGGCATCATCATGCACCCTCTCACCTGAAAAGACAAAAAAGAAAAGAAAAAACTTGAGACAGAAGGAAGACATAAATTCTGGTCTCATGAAAAATTCAAATTAATGTTTTCTTAGTATGCTACAGATCCACCACCGATTTTCCAGCACCCTTGATTCCAAAGCCTTGCAGGGATATCAGTTTTGCGGGTTATCAGTTTTGCCCGACCCGACCAACCAAGGTCAGGTAATAATAATTCAACAATACAACATTACAGTACACCTCTGACCCACTAATGATAGACCTCCTCTCTCAAAAGCACCATGGACTGCTAGAAACATAAATTAAACAAATATTAAATGAAAATTAAATGGGAAAAAGCCATAATTTTGAGCAACATTACTGTATACACTTTGTACTCAAATGTACTACACTAGACTAAAGTTTTCATCTCTTGTGTAACTGTGATGCTTGTACTCAAATTAATCACTATGTTACAAGGATTCCAGCAATGCAATTTATACTCTTTGTTAAGTCTAGTCAGCTACATTTTAAAAGATAAAAACTTTAAGCCATAAACTACATTCACCCTGGCTGGGACGGAGGGAAGTTAAGTGCCCTCTCATAATTTTGTCCAGACTAAAGGAGGTGCCGGACCACCGGTTCCCGGAAAAAATCGGTGGTGTACCTGTACTTTTTAAAAATTTCCCATGGATAAAACAACCAAACAGAGAGGTACTAACGGTCTAATGGTAGACCCTGCTGCCATAAGGCATCACAAAAATTTTGACCTAGTCCCAGGTTGCTGATCTGACTTTCTGCCTCCTTTACACACAATTGCAGGGTCTCGATTGTTTTTCTTACTACAGTAGGTTCTCACCAATAACGTCTAATAGGTGCCAGAAAAACACCGTTATTAACAAAAACTTTATTTGTGTGACATTAAAATACATGTAAAAAGCGTTTATTGGTGCTGCCGCCCCAAGAATTTCACCCATTTTTTCCCCCTTTGAAGCCCTCCTGACACTTTTTGTTAGCTGAAATAAAAAGAATTGTTATTCAATTATCAAAATAAAGAGTGAGTAATATAACACTTAGCTTGGGGGAGTTTTTGAGGTGCTTGGTGTGATGAATGTTCTGTATCTGAGGGCCCCTAACACTTGCACTGTCTTTCATTCTACAAGCCAACCATTTCACAAGAAAATGCTCTGTTATCACTAACAACCTGTTTCTATCACTTTTATCATTCATAGCTCGCCTCGCATTTCCATCACTACCGAAATATTTTTAGACAGAGCAGTACTCTTCTTGGTCTCCTCTAAGTTCCTCTTAATATTTCGCACTGTAGACTCAGGACAGTTCAATTTCCTTGCAATATCAATGTTCCGTGCACCACTTTCAATGAGCTCAACAATCTGTTCTTTATCCTTGACCGACTAGGCACGCTTCTTGTGGTTTCGTCTCTTAGCTTTGGGATCTTTTTTCTCATTCACTTTTAAAGTTCCCGGGCATTCAGGTGGCAAAACTCCCTCCACCACCTCCCCTAGCCCCCACAGGCAAAAATGTGGAAGCCATTATTGATCACCGACCCTAGCAACCACTGGTTATAGAGGCTAAAATCTCACACTGGGCTCAGCGCTGTATTCCACGGAGCGTGAGTGAGAGTGAGGCAGAGCGGACAACTACGTCATCAACATGGCGGCAAACAAATCGCTATCTTTGATGCGCTCCAACGCTTCCCGCAAAATCTCCGTTATTTAAGATAAACCAGACATTATTATCGAAAATGGGTGATAATAATGGGTATCTATTGTAACTTACCGTTATTGTCGAAAACGTTATTGTGGAAGTCGTTATTGGCGAGAGCCTACTGTACTGAAAACACAACATACATATAATTTTTCTTACTTTAGATCTTTTTTTTTCTTTTTTGTATTTCTTTATGGTTCATTATTATTATTATTATTACAGGTGGCCTATCAAAAATCCGGCAACCGATAACCCGGAACCTTCAGTTTTCCGGCATGGATTTCGGAGCGCATTTTCAAATATTTCTTTGTTTATTTAATGAAGATATATGTTTTAGCTCATAAAATTCATACAAATTACCCGGCCAGAATATAATTTACATTGCTGGAATTCTTACAATTTGATGATCATTTTGAATATAAACATCATAGATTTTGCATTAGACATACAAATTTTAGATATAATGTTTACTCTGAGTGAATATGTTATCTTTTGTGCAAACTATATGAAATTTATATTCAAAATATTCCTGGTCTTACAAGGAATCCAGCAATGTCAATTATATTATCCTAACTTCAGTCTGAGGTATTATTGATTACTAAAAAGGTAAATAGTCTGGTTTTCCCACACAATTATCTGGTAGGGAGGGAGGGACCGTCCGACCGACCATCTGGCACGGTGTGAAGAATATTTTTTTTTTTATTAACTGAATATTTTTTTTTATTAACTGAAGATATTTGTTTTAGCTCATAAAATTCATACAAATTACCCGGCCAGAATATAGGCTAATTTACATTGCTGGAATTCTTACAATTTGATGATCATTTTGAATATAAACATCATAGATTTTGCATTAGATATACAAATTTTAGAGCTAATGTTTACTCTGAGTAAATATGTTATCTTTTGTGCAAAATATATGACATTTATATTCAAAATATTCCTGGTCTTCCAAGGAATCCAGTAATGTCAATTACATTATCCTAACTTAAGTGTTTAATTTTCTTTGTTTAAAGGACTGTACAGGTTGTCATATTCTGTTAAGCTTATACAGCAAATATAACCATCAGTTTTCCGGCATTTTCGAAAATCCGGCACTCCTCAGGTCCCGAGGTTGCCGGATTTTTGATAGGCCACCTGTATTATTATTATTATTATTATTATTATTATTATTATTATTATTATTATTATTATTATTATTATTATTATTATTATTATTATTATTATTATCTATTGTTTTTTTTAATTTTATATTTTTTATTATAAATTTTATTCACTGTGTTATAAATTATTATTATTATTACATCCACACCCAGTCCCCAGATTGTATCAACACAGTCACTGTTCCCTACATAGAGTTACAGCACTGAATGGCCTATTGGCTCCAATGTTTAGCTTTGAGCCTAATTCCATAGATCGATCAATCCCATATTGAGTATAGGTGATATAAAACATTTTAATGATCAGAAAATAATTTCATAATAAAACTTGGTCATTAACCTTTCGACTTATAACTTAAGATAGCCTTATGTTGATACAGTGACTGGCAATTGGTTACATTTCTCATTGTTTACTCAAAGTGCTGTTACCATTTCTTATTTCTGTTGTGTATGTAGTATGCCTAACAACCTGCTTTGTTTTAAGAATAAATATTAAAGAACTGAAGAATCCATTATAGAGATACATTTTTATTCAAATTAAAACACAATTTAACTACCAGTAAGATAATGATGAAGATGAAGGAAGAACATTCACTTGCATGAACTTCACAATTAAAACACTTACTTCCGAGTACAAAATGGGTTGAGTTATTAATCTTGACCATAATTCCTTGGCTAGTTCCCTCCATCTTCCACTAGTAGAGTTCAAATCTGGTAAAAGACTGTACCAGATTTCAACATGACATAACGTTGTTGCAGTCTCCTGGAGAACTTGACGTAAAAGAGTACAGTATGCTTCAACAATAACTTTTGATACTAGTTCTTCATTCCACATTACCTGTAGAGAATAAAAATGTAGCAAAATTTTATTTAATTAAAATGAATGTAACAGAACACTACACATTTCAATTATCCTTTGAACTATTGGAATTTTAAGCATGATTCCTAAGTAGATTTACATAGATACAAGTATTCCTCACTAGACACACTCCCATCATACGTATTTTTGAAAATAATAATTTATAAAATAGAGAACACTTTTCACTAAATACAGGATTTATGTATCATTCATATACTTGCTAATACATATACAGTAATACCCCGATTTACACGGTTCCCGTTTACGCGGTACCCCGCCAGAACCAGAATTCCCACTTTACACGGTGCATCTACTCATATATCATATACCATCTACTCATATACGCCGGTCCTGCCGCACCGCCATTTTTCGATTCAAACCTCCCGCCATCCTTGGGCAAGCAGCACGAGTAGGTTGCCAGTGGATGCCTCTGTTGCGTTATCGCTTACGTCATATGACCTATCAGACTGTGATTGGGCCACGCATCCTTACCTCCCTCCGCAGCTAGCTGTGATTGGTTTAATGTAATATGACGTGCCTTCCCGCTGGTGGGTAGAAGGCGCTTGATCTTGCATTACCTGGACCCAGATACGTGTCCCAAGTTACAAGGTGAAGTACAGTATAACACAAGAGTTAGAAAAAGGAACAAGGCAGGTTGATCTCGCGCCAGCATGGTGTTAACGAATCTACGATCCGGATGATCAAGAAGGATGCAGCCAAGATAAAAGAACACATGAACATCACAAAGTTTGCAGGTGCTTCAATGATCAAGTATTGCCAGAACAAGGTGCTTCTCAAGACAGAAAATTTACTTGTGTGTTACTTGATTCGTCAGGCAAGACAGAACATGACGGTCGACACGCGGTCAGGTCAGTTCAGGAGTATGCACGTGAACTGTACGCAGCAGTGTCACGTAAGATGGGAATTGCAGAGGCCAATCCTTTCAATGCTTCCTCTGGGTGGCTGCACAGGTTTAAGAAGAGGAACAAGATCACCAATATTAACATTGGTAGTGAAGCGAGTGAGTGCTGACCTTGTTGCGGCTAGGGATTTTCCTCCATTCTTACGCGAGATTGAGATTATGGAGGAAGGATTGAGATTATGGAGGAAGGACAGTACACCGACGACCAGGTTTTCAACATGGACGAATCCGGATAGTTTTGGAAAAAAACTACTTTCCAAGACCTTCGTTGTTTCGTCTGCCAGCAAGTGTTGGGGCCAGAAGTTGCAGAAGGAGCACATCACCATCCTGTTTACCACCAATGCCTCCGGTTCCTGTAAACTCAGGTGATCCACACAGCCCACACTCCAACAAGAACGTGGACATGACCAAGCTAAAAGTCCACTGGCTGACTGCACGGAAGGCGTGGATGTTCTCTGCTCTGTCCATCTCCTGGTTTGATGACTGGCAACAGAATGTTCCATTCAAGATTTTGTTGCTCCTTGACTACGTACCAGGACACTCACCCCTACTGTTGGATCGTCACCCCAACGTAATAGTGGTCTTCCTTCGTCATTAATCCAGCCCATGGACCAAGAATTAATCTGCAATGTGAAAGCTGCATATTCTGCAAAGAAGTTTAAGCTCCTGAACGACTGTACCAACACCAAGGATGAGTTCCGTAACCTGGGTGACACCGATGCAAGCAAGAAGTTCTCATCAAACACTTTGGAGGAAATTTAACATCAAGAAAGCTGTGGACTTCTTGGTGGAGGCATGGGATCAGCTGTCTGTAGCAACGGTTCTCAATTCCCAGGTGGGAGGCAGAGTCAACCTGTGACTGGTGAGGTTCACTCTGTTGCAGTAGCAGTGGACCTTGCCTGAGAGGCTGCGCAAGCAAGAGTGTTACAGCTGCAGGCTTCTGCAAGAGGGTTACAGCTGCAGGCTTCTCCGAGACCACCAACGAAGACATCCTGAGGTGACTGCGACGAGATGTTAGGAGACTGATCACATCAGTGAAGAGACAGGTGGTGGTGGTTGTCATCCCGAAGTGTGCAGAGAAACTGAAGCTCCTCCTTTCTGACGACCCTAACGATAACCTGTATGAAGTCTTCACTACCCAGCTGTTGCAGGCTATGGAGCAGTACATCAAGGTGTATCACGACAACATCAACACCAGCCGTCAACACATTACCACATTACCAACTTCTTTGCCCGTAACCCACCACAGCCAGCCCAAGCCAGTGAAAGTGACAGACACACAGACAGTGATGATGACTTTGAGGGATTTGTCAGGGAGGCCCTGACAAATGTGGAGGACTGTGATGGTGACTCACCTGAGGGCCAGTAGTCTGCCCTCTGCCTCGGAACCAGGAACCAGTCGTCATTCCCGTACGACCCATCTCTTCTACTAACATCTCTTCTAATAACGTAAGTGTTAAACCTAACCTTAGGTAAGTGTTAAACCTTGAGTTTTTTTTTAAACAAAACAAAACATAACCTAACCTGACATAAGTGTTAAACCTTGATTTTTCTTTTACCTGGTACAGTATATTATTCTCTTATTGATATTTCTCTTCTATATTATGTGTGTGTGCATACCATCATAAGTTAAGATGTTATTTATACTACAACGTACGTACCGTCGGAAAAAGTGGCGTTTGGGGGTCGACACAGTCTCTATTTCAATTAATCCCATATGTTCTGTTGTTCCATTTACCCGTTTTACGTTTTAAGCGGGCCTCCGCGGGTTCAATTGACCGCGTAAATCGGGGTATTACTGTAGTAGTTTAAAAAAAAAATTCATTTGTATGCCATAAATATTAGGTTATAAATACTCTGCAATCCTGATTTATTTGAGCATTTTGAATTCACACCTTCAACAATTCATGGGAACCAATAAAATATTAAATATTAATATGTACTGTACAGTAATTTGAAATACCTGTGAGCCAATGGCATTCAGTGGAAACAGTTTTCATCAACTAATAGACTACCTTTGATATTTACCGTATTACTGTATACTGCATATAAGACCACCCGCCCATTTCAGCAAGGAGTATTTAAGAAAACTATCGTGTATTTTCCTCCTGTAGCCATAGCTTTGTTTAAATAATATTTACAGTATACTTGTAGTACCATTAAAGTGAAGATTAAGTAAAATAATACACCTTGTCCTTGATATATGCGTATTTTCACAATGTCAAACTCTGATATGGATTCTAACCCTTATGACTCAGCAGATGTCACACCATCACCCACTATCTAAAACCTCTTCACAACCTCCATAAACTCATCAACCAAGTTGATGTATCAGCTTTTAATGTTAAGTACTGTACACTTACTTAATCTATTATTTAAAAAATAATATTATATTGATTACTGTATACTATACTCGTCTATAACCCCCCCTCGTTTATAGGTCGACCCTGATTTTTTGACCAAGAAATCGTTAATTTATAATATTCCTCGTTTATAGGTCGACCCACGTTTTTGAGGGTAATGGAACAACAAAACCTTCAGTAAAAACGCTCTACGTCCTATAAACTGAGGCTCGCCGTGCCTGAAACACGAAGTGCCGAAGGCAAATTGTTTACCATTTATTATTACGACACTTTACACTGAAACGCGGGTAGTTTCAACAAAAATACTGTATATTTCCATTCAAGTATTTATTCAAGTCGATTAGGAGAGAATATTATTGTAATACAACAGTTTTTTAACTAAACCATTCGAAAAGCAATTACGGTAACATCTTTTGAACGAAAGAAAGCGAAAGTCATTGTTTTGGTCACGATTTTATCCCACTTTCCACTGTAATACGAACGTAATTTCAGCAAAAATATTACATTTCCGTGAATGTATTATATCAAGCACAGTATGAATAGAATATCATTGTAATATAACAGAATTTTAACCGAAAACTTTTAAAAAACGAGTAACATCTCAAGAACATCGGAAGCTTAGGTAAAGTCTTTTGTTTTCGTCATGTATTTTATCCTATTTTACATTGAAATACATCACGTTTCAGCAAATTACTATTTATTTCCAAAAATATATTCATTCAGGCACAGTTAAGGTAAAATATACATGAGATGCAACAGTTTTTTAACTGAAAACGATTCGAAAAACACGTGCCCTCTAGCCCTATTCAGGATAGGACTGGGAGAAGCTGTTTGGTGCTGCAGGCGATGACAAGGAAAATGATTTGGATGGATTTTAATGAAAATATTCAATATGGGCTATGCGTAGTATCTATTCAAGTCAATTAAGATGAATATTATTGTAATATAACAGTTTATAAACTGAAAACCAATCAGCGATTACGGTAGCATCTTTTGAACAAAAGAAAGTGAAAGTCATTGTTTTCGTCCGCGATTTATCACTTTCACCAGCGTCATGCGTCATTTCAGCCAAAATAATACATTTCGTGAATGCATTATATCAAGCACAGTATGAATAGAATACCATTGTATATAACAGTATTTTGTAAAACTATTAAAAGAGCAGAGTAACTTCTCTTGAACATGGGAAGGTTAGGTAAAATCTTTTGTTTTAGATCATGTATTTTTATCTATTTTGCATTAAAAACATCACGTTTCAGCAAAAGCACTATTTATATCCGAGAATATAGTCATTCAGGCACAGTTAAGGTAAATTATACATGAGATGCAACAGTTTTTAACTGAAACTTGATTCGAGAAAAACACGTGTGCCGTCTAGCTGATACTCAACAGCTGGTGAGATTAGATCATGCGTCGTTGTAAACAATAGGAGGTTGAAGTAGATTACGGGTATTATATTAAGTGTGAAATATAGAAAAAGGTTTTATTACCGGTATTTTTTGTAGATCAATGAGAACCGTGATACCGTATATGATATGATAAGTTAGCCTGAGCTAAGAACTTCAACATAGACTACTGAAAATCGTTGTAAGGTAATTTAGCCCTGTGTAAGTTGGTGAGCTTCATTTGCTTTAGGAACTGCACAACTTTTCATTACTAATTGGTACATATTTTTCGTTTCCATTGCTTACTGC